TCTATCTGTCAACCTTTGCTATATAAGTCGTCTACTTTTAGAAGCTTCTCTCAGACACACACACACACACAAAAACCAACGCACATGGAAAATGTTATTAGGTCAACCTCCTGCTGTGGCTTCAGAGTGACTCAGAGCCTCAGCTGGAGCAGAAGGAACAAGAGAGTGGAGGAGAGAGGAGGCATGGACGAGGATACAGGTTTTCTCGATTGCTTTTGAGTTGAAATCTCTGAGCAATTAGTTAGTTACAAGCAATACTTGCCCTTCATTTCACCAACATTGCTTGCACATGGCTTTCTGATAAAAACTAATCCAAACTGATTCTCAGTAAAACTGTCAAACCCTTCACATTGTTTGAGCCACCACATGCAAAATAATCAATCAATTGTCATATCTCTGACATTGAATACATACCGTGAGGAGGGATAATGTGTTGTTTTTTACTGAACTGATCACAAATGTTATCCTTTTGCAGTGTTATTTTGGCAAGGATGTCTAATTTAGCAGATTGTTCTATGACTGTACAGTAGGGCTGTGCAATTAATCGTATTTTAATCACAATTACGATTTTGACCTGCCACAATTACGAAAACAACATAATCGAAAAAACCAATTATTTTGCTTTGCTAGGTTGTGACAGGGCAACATATTTGATCTAATTAATTTTGGTCTCATTTATTTGTATTTATATATGTTTAGTAGCTTGGGGAAGTGCGCTCCAAAATATTTGTTGATCTTGTTTATTGGTATTTATTATTTTGATATTATTTATTTAAATGTATCATTTATTTTATTTATTTTTGTATTGGTTTTTCAGTTGAATTATACGTTCAGGGTAATCAAGATACTGTTCAAATTATTATTTGTATTTGTTTTAAAGTTCAATAAATTGATTTTTTCAAAGTCAATGAATAATCGTATTTAATAATCGTGATATCAATTATTGACCCAAATAATCGTGATTATGATTTTTGCCATAATCGCACAGCCCTACTGTACAGTATATGTCACATATTGCTAGAGACATATCTTTAATTTAAACAAATAAATGGACTCTTCCAGTGAAATTGTACATATTAAAATTGAAATCTGGAATAATCCAGCGAAGTAAAACTCACAGTCTGTAAGAAATATTTCCAGCGTTGACTGATGGTTAAAAGATCATTTTGACCATTATGGTTCACGATACACAACCTTTCATTTTCGAAGCATTGGCCAATTTACTGACCCAGTTTCTTGTTTCTAAAGCAACTACCTGTTGCATTGTGACATTTGCACTTACAAATGAGAGCATATTAGGACTCAAAGAGCAAAATCAATTGAGAAAACCTGTATAACTATTTAAAAAAAGGAATGTGTAGCTTAATGAAAGGCAGGGAAAAGAGTGTACAACATATAGGATGCCCTTCAGAACATACAGTAGTCAGAGAGAGATTATTAAACCTGGTGCCATACTTCAGTGTTTCTCATTACATCCTGTCTACTGCAAAAAGCTGCTGATCTGCTGTTATGATGATCTGTGCTCGAGTATCCACCTTCATGCCTTCCTTAAAGGGAAGAGCAAACATTCAAAATGTCTTCATAAGTTCACTGAAGTTACTTAAAAGGTTTGCAGTATTGTGGAGAGAAAATTGGTTGAAATCCAGATCAAATTGAACCTTTTTCGAACACACTGCAATACATGATATTTTTTAATGACATCAAAACCTTTTATCTCCAAAATGTTCACCTTTTGGGAATTAGGAAAAATACCTTGAGTGATTATTTAAGAGCCTGACAATCACCAACGTTAGAGATCCGATATTGTTCAGAAGAAAATAAAATCTGGTTAGCTTGGTCCTGGTTGTTTAGCATCACTTGTGTCAAGTGAAAACGCAGCATTACAAGAGACAGAGTTTAAAAAGCAGGTATCAGGTGTTTTCCTGTGTTAATTAAAAAACACACATTACACTCAAAAGGCCAAGAGGAACGCCATCACTAACAGGTAAGCACAACTATCATCAATAGCCACCATTGTTGTTTTTTTTTATACACACTTAAACGCATCACTGAGCTATAAAGTTAGTTATATTGTTTTTCACTCGTTCAGTCAGTACACATTAAAGTTAAACAGCCTCATTGACTTTCATGTAACTTACTATTATTGCTACATCCATACAGTGTACTTCATTAATGCTGCAGGAATCTGTTCTACACACACACAACACACACATGTTCAGACTCTGAGCGTCCATTAGCCCACATGACGGTATAGTGAGGAGGTCATGTGATCCATACGTTTACAATTAGTATCAACACACAACTTCTCCAATGTCTCTTCTTCACTTCACCTCGTCCTCGTGTTTCAGACGTCCCCTCTCCAAGTGACCGTGACGGACTCAAAAACAATCACATGAGACAACAAGAGCCTGTGTGTGTGTGTGTGTGTGTGTGTGTGTGTGTGTGTGTGTGTGTGTGTGTGTGTGTATGTGTGGTCTAGCATTGCTATACTTGTGGGGATCTAAAACTGTTTACACAGTCACGTGTGGGGACTCGCCTCCCTTATGGGGACATAATGGAGGTCCATGAGGGGAATCATACATTTTAGGGTGAAGACTTGGTTAGGGTAAGGGTAAGGCATGTGTTGGTTATGGTTAAGGTTAGGATAAGTCTCCAGGAAATGCATGTAAGTCAATGTAATGTCCCCTGAAGTGATGTATACATGGTATGTGTGTATGTGTATGTATGTGTATGTGTGTGTGTGTGTGTGTGTGTGTGTGTGTGTGTGTGTGTGTGTGTGTGTGTGTGTGTGTGTGTGTGTGTTGCTGGTTATTTCACACAATAATACAGTAGTCAAAGCAGTTAGATGAGGGAAGTGTGCTCAAGGGGTTTTGAGTTCTCTAAAGTTTAGAAATCCTCTAAATCTGTCGATAATAATGGGGATTTTGCGACTAATCTGTGGAGTTATTTCAGGCTTTTTAACAGACAGCAGAGAGCTCTGATTTGGCCAAGTCTGGAAATAACTACTGCAGTCAATTAGATGATCAGCAAATGTTTGGCCAACTTTCCACATCTCCAAACTCCTAAACCTCCGTGGTACTTTAGATAAGCTTTATTTTCTCATCTGAAATTCCTTGGGAAGCTAATTGTGTCCGATAGATTTAGAAAAACAAGAACAGCCGTCATGTTTTTCAAGTATGGAAACAATGGGTGGGTAAGGCTAAAGGAAAAGCTTCTATATTTATATCTAGACTTACTTTGTGGCATCATCTTAAATATTGTAATAGCTTTGTCTCCTCCTTCACTCATTTTGAATGTTATCAGCTGATGAAATGGGCATTATGAGGGGTTATCAATAGGCGCTTTCACACCGGAGTACTTTTCCCAGTATAGTTCCGATATAGTTCCGAAAATGTGCGTTCACACCAAAAAAATCCGGAACTAGAACTTAGTTCATGAGAACCTTTCCAACCCCTTTTCCGTCCCTGCTAGAGAGCAGGTACTTTCATGGGAGAAAAAGGTTCCCATTTCTGATTGGCTGGGCGAATTGCAAACCACGCCCCGTAAAACTCCCAAAACGTTTTGTGAAGCCGCCATTTTATTTGCTCGCATTAGCATTATTAGCATTAGCCCCGCGCACCAACGGAGAGAGACTAACTTATGGCAACACAAAAGAAAACATGGGAGCGGTGGAGATGAGGAGGTGTCGGCGTTCTGGCGATTTACTCGGAAGGCTTCAGTAGAAGCTGCTGGGAGTCCCAGCAGCTTCTACTGAAGCCAGTCCCCAACTCCGGGGACTTCCGGCCGGGGACTCCGGGTGGCAGTATACGCCGTGAAGTTGTTTGCGGCCTGCCAGTAAACCCAAAGCAGAAGAAGACGTCAGCGGCTTAATTTGCCTAACCCTCCCTCAGGGAACTTATTCTGGTGTGAACGCGATCTGCTCTTTAGTTCATCAGAACTAAAGAGTTCTGATGAACTAAGTTCTCATGAACTAAGTACGGCAAAGTACTTAGTTCATCAGTGAAAGCGCCTAATGTGTCAGATGGGCCAAACTGCACCTACTAGGTGTTAAAAGAGAAACTTAGTAGTAATGGGTAATACAACTGAACTACACGTAACATTTTAAACACAAAACAAAGCAATTTCTATACTTTTAGGCAACAAAACTTGCAGCCTTGGTATTGCAACTTGCTGTCCTTTGCTGCAAGTTATCCACTCGCTGTAACCCTTTCTCTCTATTGCAGTTCTATTAATTAAAGGTAAAAGATCCAAAACTCTTTCAAATAACTTTAACTTCTTTAGGTTAAGGCGACAAAACCACTAGCTTAGGTTTAGGAGTTTTTACAAAGGACACATCGCCCTGACTTCCTTGCTCTTTATACTGCGTCACATGACCTACACATTTGCACATTCATTACTTAATTAGTTGCTGAAGGTCGGTATCATCTTCGTACATGTTTTGGGTGATCAACCTTGTGAATAGCTGATAAAACCTATAGTTGGTGCAGCAGGCCCCTTCTGACCCTGATAACATTTCACTTAAGTGGCTCCTTTAAGTGCTCTTTTTCCCGTTAAACTACTGCATACGTTTAATCGTATTAGTTTCATCTAAAAACAAAAGTAAGCGTACCATAAAAACATTTTTTAAAAGTAGTTTTGCACAAAAAATCTAGGCTACTTGAATTAGTAACTCTCTACCTGTGTGCTTTTTGTGGGTCACATCCTGTCAATCAATCTCTTATAGCCCCTTATAGCAATAGCAACCCTGTAAACACACACACACACACACACACACAACACAACACACACACCACACACACACACACACACACACACACACACACACACACACACACACACACACACACACACACACACACACACACACCACACACACACACACACACACACACACACACACACACACACACACACACACACACACACACACACACACACACACACACACACACACACACACACACACACACACACACACACACACACACACACACACACACACACACACACACACACACACACACACACACACACACACACACACACAGGTAATCTTGCTGCCTTCCCAGGGGACGAACTGAAATGCAGAGGCAGAGAAAATGTAGTCCCATGAGCTCTACTTCTCTGCCTTCTTTTTATACCTCTGAACAGCAACAGGACGGTAATCACCCGTTGTCACAAATCACTCAGGTGTCTGTCATTCCCTCCGTAATGAGGGAAACCCTGCAGAGCTGCAATGTGGAATCACACGTTGTCCTGCAGAAAAATAAGCAGGAGCTGTGAAAAGTTCAAGAACCTGTGTCTTTCTTTGTTCTCCATGGTTTGGACATTCATTCATGGAAAGCCTCTCTGCAGGCTGGACCTTCTTCATAAGGCTTTAACATAGATACTGCTCTGGTTTAGACACACACTGCAGGGGATAAAGCGACACACACTCTGCCTGAGAGGAAATCCTCCGTCTCCTGTGCTGCGTTTTACTCCCGCAGTCTTTTCTCGCTCTCTTCATCTCCGTTGTCTCCTCTGTAAATACTCCTCTCCGCTCCTTTTTTCCGTCAGATGCGTCCGTTGCCGTGAGTGCTGCTTCGCCGGCCGGACGGCGGGTGGCAGGAGTAGTGCAGCTCGGCCGTGGAGAAGGTGGAGGAAGAGGAGAGGGAGGAAGAAGAGGAGGTGAGTCCACAGGCTTCACAGGCCAGAGCCAGCTGCCTCAGGGCGTCCAGGGAATCCATCTTGGCTCCTCGCAGCAGATCGCTCTGACCCTGCAGCAAAGACACGCATTAGACTTGCAATTCATTACGTCATTAAGTAAAGCAGAATGTGGAAGGGTTGCTCTTGTTAACTGGGATTGTTGAATGGGTTGTTATTGGCAGAATGCTAGTCCACGGCAGAAAGACTTAGTGTAAATATTCGCCTCTTAAAGGGGACCTATCATGCAAAATGCACTTTTGTACGTCTTTTATACATGAATATGTGTCCCCGGTGTTCCAGGGAACTCACCAAGTGTCAGAAAACACAACCCTCTCTATTTTCCTCCATACCCAAATCTCTAAAAAAGGGGCTGCAACGGATCTGATAAAAACTGATCCAGATTTGAACACTGTCCTGACGTCAGGACGGTGGCGCTACGGCTATTGGGCCAACTCCACCAATCAGGAGGAGACAGCCACGGCCATTGCCGTTCGAAAGCGCTGGAGACGCTGTAGTACATATGCCAGGCCTGTAGGTGGTGCTGTTCTCACTGAATCAGCCCTTGCAAAAACAGAGCTAACATTTTTCAAATTGAGCAAAATGAGGCATGGCTAAAATGCATGATCTGTTTGGTATTTTGAAAAACAAAAAGTATAAATATGCCTTAAATAGGTATGGTCCTACACTATATTATTCAAATATAGCATGATAGGTCCACTTTAAGCTGCTATATGCTCTAATTTGTCCACTAGCATGGTCTGTATGCTGTTCTGTGGTCAGATAGCATATAGAACCTCTTTGCTAAATGAGGAAACAAGGTTGATAATGGGGCCATAACTTACTAAATGAACAGTATTGAAGAAAACCCTAAAACTAGGAATTCAGACCATAAACTCATTAGGAAAATGTTTACAGAGGTCAAGTGGGAAGTATGGTTTTCTCATAGACTACTATACATATATATTCTATTTTTATTTATTTACTTGCACTATTTTATCTGTTTTATTGTGTTGCACTATTGGAGGAGCCTGTGACCTAATCATGTCATTGTCATATCTACACTGTAGCTATGTACACATGACAATAAAAGCCTTGAATCTTGAATACAACTCCCCTTTTTGCATTCAGTGAAGATGCTGGCCATATAAAATAACTGTTGTGGGCACTTCTGCACTGGCTTAATTCTTCAGACCCAGACGCTAAATCCATTACCTTCAATACAGCCGGGATAGACTACAGAAGGTGAAACGTATATTTAAAAAGAAAACAAAAAATATTCTGATTACATTTGCAGAAAGCTAAGAAGGCTATCATCTTATTCTTTACCATGTTAAACTCAGACCTGTCACACTTACCCTAAAAGTAAATAACAATTAAAAAGGAAAATGATTACATTAACCATGTTAATTCTGTACCTTGAGGACAGTGATGTTCCAGGTGAAACTCTCCACAGCTTTGCTCAGCTTGCGTCCCTTCAGTCCCTCCTTCTCCCCGAGCCGAGACAGATCCTCGTGGAAGTCCATGCCTGGAAAACACAAACAGGAGATTTGCATCCGTTCAAATTCAAATTCAAATGTATTTATATAGCCCAGTATCACAAAACACATTTTTACATTACATGTCACTTGTTAGACGCTTTTATCCAAAGCGACTTACATACTCAATACTGTGGACAATCCCCACAGGATCAATTTGGGGTGAAGTGTCTCAGGGACAACAACGACATGCTGACTGCAGTGGGGTTTGAACCTGTGCCCCCCTGATCTGAACACCAACGCACAACCCACTGGACCACACGCCTCAGAGGGCTTCACAAATCAACAAACATGAATGACGATGTAAAAACAACAAACATATCTGAGAGAAGTTAGTAAGATAGTAAAATGACAAGATAAATGTGAAAATACCAATGAATGGGTACAAAACACAATGACACAAATACAGTTAGAATACAATAATTAAAATTCCATAAAAGGGAGGGTCCATGAGGATGTTTAAAAGGGAGTTTAAAACCAGTCCTAACTGTACGCTGCACTAAAGAGACTGTTCACACAGGTGGGAGGGCATCAGCAATTCAAATTCAGGGCAATTATAACTGTCTGTTGTAAGAGAGATTTGCTCGAATTATGTTTGTGACTAACACTAATTGGCTTTTAACAACAGGTCCTGATGGACTCGTTGTCAGTCAGATACTACTGGATTTAAATATTGAAAACAAGCAAAATGCCAGCCCTCGTGAGATTTACATTGACACTTAAAGGTCAGCAGTTATCTAAGACAGTGGAAAGGTCTAATAAAACACAGGTTCAGTGTGTAGATGTGGATATTGTTTTACTGTATAGGCTGCTGTAAAGCTACATTGCTAAGGTGGCTGACAGGAGCTAATGCGCTACAACGGCCCAAAGCATTTCCATCAGCTTCAGAAACTATGCAGATTTTTAAAACAAACTAAGCACATGCAAATAAAGAAACATCTTCTCCAACTTGACAACATATGCTCAGCACTGAAAAAACTATCACCAGCTTAATGAAACGCTGCAAAATAAACACAACTTTATAATCCCCAAACGTCACCAAGCACACTTTTTAGTGTCCCTTAAAATTGATTATTACATTGATTTGAACACGATCCGTGTATCCATCATTTCCTGGTCTTCTCTAAAGAAGAGGGACCAATGAAAACGTTGTCATGTTGCCGTTGTTCAGCATGGAAACATTCATTAGCTAACAATGACATTATTGTTCTATTAATATAAAGGGAGGTCAGGTACTCTTTAAAACAGCTGCTAGTTATGGGTACTTTTTACTTAAGTACATTTCAAAGCCCTCTTTACTTTTACTTGAGTAAAGAAGTTTAGTCAGTACTTCTACTTTTACCAGAGTATTTTTAAACACGAGTATCTGTACTTCTACTTGAGTAAAGGATGTGTGTACTTCTGCCCTCTCTGCTGAGAGCCTCTCAACGACCAGGGAGAGGTGAGAGGACCATGAAGGGCCATCACAGCTGCTTATCATGACCGCAGACCAAAGGATTCTGGGTATTAACAATGTGTTGGCTTCATCACCAAGTGAGGCCTGAGATAAGATAGTGACAGGGGGAGTCACCTGGCCGTGGCATTATGATAATACAGTTTCTATATTAGCAGCCCCTCCAGAGCAGAAGGTCAGGTCACTTTTTAAAATCGTTCCTCACCATCCTCTTCATCTCCTTGGACACATACTTGAATAAAGAAGTTTAGTCAGTACTTCTACTTTTACCAGAGTATTTTTAAACACTGGTTTCCGTTGTGTTTGGAGCTTCTTGCAGTGTTTTTAGTCAACTCTGTGCATCGTAAGCCAAGTCGGTGAATGTTTTCTAAACGCTGCGGATGTTTCATCATGAATATGTTTCTTCATCTGCATTTGTTTTGGCACATTTGTGATTTTATATTTGCATTATTTCTGAGCTGCAGCATGTTTCTCCTAATGGAAATTGTATAGGTCGTTGTAGCGCATTTGCACACGTATATAACATGTAGAACTGCCTAGAAAACCCAAAATAAATGAACCGAAAAGCAGTGTGTTACATGTCCAGATGTTTTGCTAACAACATTTCAAGCAGAGATAACATTGTTTTAAAAGTGTCTCTCATTTCAAAAAGTACAAAAAGAGAAAACACTTTGATAATTAGAAATCAAATGTGTCAGAATCAGCAGCGAGTTCTGTATCTCTACTTGTTATGTTGTTTACCGACAGATTCTCTGAGGCATTGCTCATTAAGTTGCGTTTGATGTTCAAGTCAGATTTGCTCATTTGGGGAATTTCGTCGTGTATTGCTTTTTTTACTCGTGAGAGCTCATCAAAAACGCTTTCTCTTAGTTTATGATCGCCTCACGTCCTCCTCCTCTCACTGTGACCGTACCTTCTCTCTGCACCTGAGCGATCCTCTCCTGAACAGAATCTGCATTTTCAATCAGCTGTTTCTGAGCCGCAATCATCTGCACACAGGAAGACAGTTGGTTTAAATGTATACGTTTGATTTGAAGCAACATTGTTAAAGACACCAATATTTATCACTGCAAGTAGTCTTTATGTTCCCAAACAAAGACTTTAAGGAAGGGACTTTATTTCATATCCACAAAATACAGAGAGGAGAGAGGAGTGTGAGTGTGTGATGACTCAGCCCTGTCCGTGTGTGTGTGTGTGCGTGCGTGCGTGCGTGTGTGTATGTGTGTATGTGTGTATGTGTGTATGTGTGTGTGTGTGTGTGTGTGTGTGTGTGTGTGTGTGTGTGTGTGTGTGTGTGTGTGTGTGTGTGTGTGTGCTGTACATTTACGTATGAGAGCAGTATTCAGCAGACTGTGCAAAATCATGTTGCAACACTCATGTGACAGTGATGCAGGAGAAGTTCACTGTATGCAAGTAAAATAGAACACGATGGACCTAAAATAGAATATAAAATGAAATGCTGTACAGCGAAATAAAATATTGCTTATTATAATAATAGATAAATATGTGAGATGCAAACAGATTAATGGTATGAAGTTGTGAAGGCAAATGTTTCTGGTATCAGTACTTTACTCCACTACTTATTTTTCTGACCACTTTTTACTTTGACTTCTTACATTTTGAACCCAAATACCTGTACTTTCTACTTCTTACATGTTGAACCCAAATACCTGTACTTTCTACTTCTCACATGTTGAACACAAATACCTGTACTTTCTACTTCTTACATTTTGAACCCAAATACCTGTACTTTCTACTTCTTACATGTTGAACCCAAATACCTGTACTTTCTACTTCTTACATGTTGAACACAAATACCTGTACTTTCTACTTCTTACATGTTGAACACAAATACCTGTACTTTCTACTTCTTACATGTTGAACCCAAATACCTGTACTTTCTACTTCTTACATGTTGAACCCAAATACCTGTACTTTCTACTTCTCACATGTTGAACCCAAATACCTGTACTTTCTACTTCTTACATTTTGAACCCAAATACCTGTACTTTCTACTTCTTACATGTTGAACCCAAATACCTGTACTTTCTACTTCTCACATTTCCCAAACAGGCTGGTTCCTTTAGTTTGAATGTGTGTTTGGTGGCGTGATCATTATTATTTAGAGTCATTGCGTGCCTATTGATTTGAACACGATCCGTGTATCCATCATTTCCTGGTCTTCTCTAAAGAAGAGGGACCAATGAAAACGTTGTCATGTTGCCGTTGTTCAGCATGGAAACATTCATTAGCTAACAATGACATTATTGTTCTATTAATATAAAGGGAGGTCAGGTACTCTTTAAAACAGCTGCTAGTTATGGGTACTTTTTACTGAAGTACATTTCAAAGCCCATACTTCTTTACTTTTACTTGAGTAAAGAAGTTTAGTCAGTACTTCTACTTTCACCAGAGTATTTTTAAACACGAGTATCTGCACTTCTACTTGAGTAAAGGATGTGTGTACTTCTGCCATCCCTGGAAGGCACAGAGCTCAGGAGGTTGTCTCTTTCTTCTGTGTGTTCTGAATAAACTACACAAACGTCTGTAGTCGGTTCCCCCCCCTTCGCCCTGTTTTCTCTCACCGTATCGTAGGCGGTGAGCAGTTTCCTCAGCGGCTCAGAGAGGTTGCCCTGCGGCTCCAGACTCGGGTACCCCTCCCTCAGCACCATGGAGGCCCCCGCGCTGCCCTCGGGGCCCTGCAGCCGCGGGGCCAGGCTCTGGATGCACTGCTTCAGTTTGGCCACCGCAGGGAGCCCACACTGCTCTTTGAAGCTGGCCGTGGTGCTCTGGAGACCAGAGAGAGATAAGGAGGAAGAGGGGGGAGAATATTAAATCAAATTCAGTTTAGGATGCTGGAAGAAGTCAGAAAAGGTGACACTTGCAGCGTAGGTACCTACTTAAACCGATATATTCCTACACTTTAACTTTATCT